TTGCAATATATATATATATATATACATATATATGTGTGTGTGTGTGTGTGTGTGTGTGTGGTTTTAGAGTTAAATGCTGTCACCTTATCTGTTTAACATTTTTTTCTTTCATTTTTTCTGTCCTATTTCTTATCTGTTCACCAGTACAGACTCAAAGATAAAAAGTTATTTCGCTATAGATCATTTAAGTCTATCCCGCTATCCCTCTGCACAGATTTATCCCTCTATGCTTTTTTTTTTATCTAGCAGATTTATGAGAACACCTGCCGCTGTCATTAAAAAGCATTTTAATGGCTTTATTGTTTTGTTCTCAGAATTTCTGGTAAAGGACAATGCTTTAATCCACAAATGGGTGCAGTAATGCATTGTGTGTGTGTGTGTATGTGTGTGGTGTGTGTGTGTGTGTGTGTGTGTGTGTGTGTGTGTGGTTTGTGTGATCAGCTAGAACTTGTCCTCTAGAAACTGTTCATTAGAATGGAATTCTCTTTCTCTTTGTTTTGAATCTAGTTATATAATTCAGGAACATGTATGGTACTTTTATTGCATGTGTGTTTTAAGGATGTTTACATCTTTACTGGTTTTGCTAGCTAATGTTGCTCAGGGCTGCGTTTCCCAAAAGCATTGTAAGCCTAAGTAGACTGTAAAGATCATTGGTGCCAACTGGTAAGCTTTGTTCCAAAAACTTAGTGAGCTGCCTACTTAGGCAGAGGCACTTTATACAGTTTTACTCTATGTGTGCTATGTATTTTTATGCTTATTACAGGGACAGTTCACCAAAAAATTACATTTCTGTCATTAGTTACTCACCCTCTTGTCGTTCCAAACCCGTATGACCGTCGTTCATCTTCGGAACACAAATTAAGATATTTTTTGAAGAAATCCGAGAGCTTTCTGACCCTGCATAGACAGCAATGCAACTACCATGTTCAAGGCCCAGTAAGGACATCGCTAAAATAGTCCATGTGGCATCAGGGGTTCAACCGTAATTTTACGAAGCTACAACAATACTTTTAGTGCACAAAGAAAATGTGCATGTGTCGTGGTACTGTCATGAACAAAATT